TGATTCTGTTAACTTAATTGTTAACATATAGCAGATATGCCTTGTATAATGAATTAATAAATAAATTTATTTTTAAATATATGTAAATATATTTGAATGAAAACTATAATGCTTGTTTATTATAAACTATAATAGTTGTGAATATAATGACAAGGTTTATTTATTTATTTATTTATTTAAAGATGTTTGGTGCAACCATCAAGTAAAATGCAATATACAAAAATCAAATACAAGTAATATATTTCCCTTATACCTTGAATATGTGAGTGCATGCAAGTCTCTTAATTATTATTTTCAAAAAGGCGTTACAGATTTTTACATTTATCAGGAATTATAAATTCACAAATATTTTTTAGGGAGTCACCCAACATGACACTTGAATTGCCCGATTTGTTATACGTGCAAATTGCATGATATATTAAGAGATTTATTGACCTTGACAAACCTTTTTTTTTTTTTTTTTTTACGCTGCATGTTGGTTGCACCAACCCTGACATTTTTTTTATTGTATGTCCCCCAAATTTTAATTTAGAAATTGAAAACATGCATAAAAGAACGAAGAAATTGTATTCAAGTAAGAATATATGAATTGCATTGAAAAAAAGAACAAGAACAACAACGTCATGTGGTGTAACCATCAAATAAAAAATAGTATATAAAAGTAACATATTTTCCTTAAACACATCTTAATCAAACAAACAATCAAATAAATAAGTTTGTCAAGATAAAAACTAATGTTTACAAATATCATGAATTCTTATTTCATACATGCCATTACATTTTTTATTTTGAGTCACACCACATGATGTTTTACAAGCTGAAATAATGTTGCCTTATCATAAAAAGTGCAAATTGTGTGATATATTTAGAAACCTTAAAAACAGCATGGGCTTATGAAATCATCTCCCCCCTGCTGCATGTTGGTTGCATCAACCCTGACATTGTTTTTCTTTATGTTCCCAAAAATGTATTTTAATTCAGAAATTAAGACATGTTCATTATAGAAGAGGTATATTCAAGTCACTGTATATAAGAATTGGAATTTAATGTATTTTTGAATTAATGAATAGATCCACACCAACAAAATGAGCATCTTGTCATTGACCCTGGAGCTCATAAATAGTAGGCTGGCATATTCAGTATACATTCAGGAATAAAAATCAATCATGCTCCATTTCTTGATCCCTGTTCTCTGTATAATATCCTTGTGAATATAGAAAAAAAAAAAATAGCTGGTAGCTACTTGTTGTGGTAATTGGTAATGTACTAAAATATATGTACTTTCTTGTGGGTTGTATTTGTAAGAGTCAGACAAGGATGCTGAAGTTATTTTAGAAGAATGTAATAATCCCTTACATATAAGTAAAGGAAACAAGCTGTTTTTTTCTGTACAGCGAACAGACATTTATAATGCAGGATGAGTTTTATTCATAAGTAATCACACAGATGGCGGCAGCCTTGTTTCCTTAGCTCTGTCTTTCCCAGTGCCAGGTGTTGATCTAAGAGAATAGAGAACTGTGTCTGGCAGAACAGAGGATATTAGTAACAAATGTCTGTCTGTCAAGTCTGACTTCCCTCTTGGTCGCTACACTGCAAACTTTCCTTTTAAAACCTCCCACTTTGGAAAATGACCTCTTTGGTATTTGTGCTGTCTGCCGCAGCCCTTCCCAGATAAATGAAACAAAGATACAGTCAATATCCATAATGGTTTAACTGCTGTAACATTTGACCTTTCATGTTTTTTACACCCTTTCCAACGAAAGGAAGAAACAAACAAAACAAACCATTCTGAAAAATGCTTCTGACCGAGTATCTGTCATTTTGAAGAGTCGAGCGTCAGAGCAAAGTTCTATATATTGATTCTAGCATTTGCGTTTTTTTCTTTACAGCTCTCTGACTTTGCCCTTTGTCTCGTGTACTTTCCTCTTACTGTCTTTCTTCTTAAATGTCTTTGAGTCTTCCATCTGTCCCCGTCTGCAGAGAACACAGAGACATTTTGTCTTTTCTAAGGGTTTGAGCATGTTTTGATGATGCAGTTAAATATGCTGGAGACTGCAGCATTGATTCTGCTCCTGTGTAAGAGTACGAAAAAGGCCTTAGTTGCTTTTGATTTTTTTTTTTTAAGTTTCATATTGTAAATCAGGACTTAGTGTGGCAAACTAGTTAATTGTCCAGTGAAATGTTTTGCATATGCATATTTATGCATGACTGTGTGCGTGTTCGCAGCTTTGCAAGTTAAGTGTGTCTGTGCATTTGCATGTTCATCATGTGACCCATGCACTCACCACTAGCATGTAACCTACATAGTAAGTTAACACTGTGTTGATTTGAGCTGATTTGCATATCATTTGGATTCTTAATGTGCAGTGCTCACATAGGAACATATTAAGCACATAATCATGTATAAATATACCCTGTTGAAAAAAAAAAAAAAGCTTAGTGTGATTTTCCACGCCAGTTAACAATATGTGACCCGTGCTGGCAAAATGAGTCAGAATGCACAAGGGCTAATTTTGAGCTACAGGCAAAAAAAAATGTCAATTTGAGGTTTTCACAAAAATTAGTTCATTAAGTCCTCGTCTAGCGAACCCAGTGCTCCAAATAGTAATCAAACCTTTAAAAGTATCTTTATTTGTAGGTTTTCTGAGAGGAGTAGGCCTACCTTTTCTCTGCTCGCTTTTCGTGCTGACTGTCATCCGAAGCGATCGCATAAAGATGACACCGACGGCGCTCTATCCCGATTCACATAGGCTATGCACAGATTTACAGTAGGCTTAATATATTCACGCATCTGTGAACGTTTGGGGAACTGTTAGGGAAAAAATATTGGATGTGTAAGATTACATTAGATCCGTGCATTACACTATGTCTTAATATAGGCCGTCTGTCGCATTAATGTTAATCAAACAATAAAAGAAAAGAGGGTATCACTCGCTGCTCTTGATTGAACTGCTTTTGTAGCTTTAATAATCAATTTATTTGTAATGAACACACTAAAGTGATTTTTATATTTTATTTTATTTTTTATTTTTATTTTTTGCATTGGTTCTTATTTATAACAACAAAGATAAAATAAAAAATATACCTATATTGTGATTATTAATCTAGTAATGATTATTAAGAAAAGAAGTGGGGGGAAAATATGTAATGTTCTAGTTAATTTTGCTTTGGAGCCTTCAGAAAACTTTAAATCAGTTTTTTCTCTAAATTAAGTTTGCTTACTTCAAACAGGTGTAGCTCAGTAATTTTTTTGTCCGATTCCAACAAATCATACATCATTTTGATGGTCTTTTAATGGAGAATGTATAGGTAAAAGTAACACATTTTTGAAATTTTTCTCACTGTGACTCTTTTGCCAACACAGGTCACATATGCTAGTCAATGCTGACGAGTCAGTATAGCCATAGAGTGATTCAATATAGTTCATAGAGTTGAGAATTCAGTTTCAATTTCTACTATACTTTCATTGGTTCCAGCTCAGTAAAATATCAGTTTAAATCAGTCTAATTACTCATTTACTGACTGAATCAGTTAGAGTGGTTCTTGGTGTATTTACTGAACCAAATAACTT